GAACTGTATACAGATGGACCATGTAAAAAAAGAACTAGAAAGTGTTTCTCAGAGAAGGAAAAAGACCTGTGAACCAGAAGCAAGTACCATCACACACCATGAAGTGATAAAAAAAATTCCAGGTTTCTAGGGTTAGCCAAGAGGCTTGGTCTGGAGCATTACTATCGAAGGAAGATGGGCTGGGTAGATTTCCATCTGATTTACCAGGTCTCTGTGCATGACAGTCAGCCTGACACAGAAGAAAAATTGACATTTTATTTCCTACAGAAGTTGTTGATGCTGGATTACCGACTGAGATACTTGGTCTGTAAAGGTGATAGAGACACAGTGGGCAGTGGCACACTGACAAATCTTGAGAATGACACTTCAGATCCTTATGGTGATTTGTCTGATGGTAAAACACCCCCTCTCCTCTTGTCCACAGGCCCGCCCCACATTCACCCAATGGACGCCCAGATGATGATTTTTCACTGTGTAGATGATTTCATGAGACAATACATTTCAAACAAACTTTCCATTTGTCAATTTGCCCTCCCCCTTGTGGTGCCCAATCCCTGCACTTCTATAATAGAATTCCCCCTCTGGTCTCTCAGCCAAATCAAGAGAAGCTGGAGACAGGTGGAGAAATCATCAGGTGAAGACACAGTCATCAATTTTAATAACCAGATCATCTCCCAGGCACCCATCCCTATAATGTCCTTTATAAGAGTTGTGAATTCTGCTTCTTCTTCCAAATCTCAGATCTTGAACTCTCTGCTGAGTAAGCACAAACACGATGCTTTTAACCACCATCACTGCCAAGGCAGCAGTGAATCCTGCCTCTTAATGGGAGGTATGGTAAAGATCTCCTGGTTCTGTCCAGGGGGGAGAGATGAGGACAGATTAGAAAGGTGTGTTGCCTTCACCAGTCTGTGTGGAGATGCCAAAGATCATGAGACACAGCTCAGATTTCTGCTGGAAATTGCTTCAGTCACAGTGGTCCTTGTGTCTGCTTCTGATAAAAGTGAGAGGATTGTCAAAATGGTCCATGACCTATGGATGTCAACAAAACCTTTGGTTTTTGTTTGATGACAAAGAGGAGAATGTGTTCAATGATTCTGGGCAGAAAGTGAGCATTGGGATTAGGAATAGAAATGAGGCTGAATTAATGGATGAACTCACAAGGGTCATCAATCACTTGCTGAAGTCTTCAGGTCCCTTTCTCAGTCTGGAAGACTGTGCTGAAGTTGTTCGGTGCCATGGCCTTCTTGTAGAGGTGAACAGGAAGGAGTGTCAAGAGGCTAAGGGAAAGGCACAGGCTTTGCTGGCCCTCATGAAAGAGATGAAATTGTCTGAAATGAAGGAGAGATTACTGCTCCTTCAAGGAGAACCTTGGCACCAGTGGTGTAAGAAGGGTAAGGAGCTTTGTCACTTGCGAGAGAAGGGGAACCGCAGTCTTGAACAGCACAAGAGTGAGATTGAGACAGAAAAGCTAATAATGAGACAAGCACAGCTAAAGAGAGCATTTCCTGTCAATGATTTGATGCAATCTGTGCTTGAAATCCTCCAGGCTCACTCAGAGAAAGACAACGGCACTGAGCTGTACTTCCTACAGTGGCTGAGCATGTTCATGGACAACCTGACCAGAGGTCACCTGGAAAAACTGCAGAAGAGGTACAACCAATTGCGGTCCCTGGTGTTGGCAAAAAACCGAAAGGGATCCAAGATTACCACCTATAAACAACACCAAGAGGAACTACAAGCTGTCTCTAAGGAGATCAGGGATTCCTCCTTGGGTATTGATCATCTCCTGAGGGAGGTTGGCCAGATCTATGAATCTTTGGAAGAAGCTTCATCCCAAATGGACACTTTGTTCTCCTCCCTTCCTCAAATTGCTGCTGACATGATGGTTTCTGGGTAACCCCTTGAGCTGATGGATGGGGATGCTTCCTATGTCCCCCTGAAGTGGGTAGCAGCTGTTTTTGACAGATTGATTGAGAAAATTGGAGACCAAAAGCTCTTTGTTCTCTCTGTTCTTGGCCTCCAAAGCACAGGGAAGTCAACTCTGCTGAATGCTATGTTTGGCCTGCAGTTCAATGTCAGTGCAGGGAGATGCACACGATGAGCTTACATGCAGTTGCTGAAGGTGGAAGAAACTCTCTGGGAAGAGCTGGGCTTTGGCTTTGTCCTTGTGGTTGACACTGAAGGACTCCGGGACCCAGAACTTACTGGTAAATCACAGAATTGGGACAATGAGCTGGCAACTTTTGTTATTGGACTTGCAAACCTGACTTGATCGATATATTTGGAGAGAAACCTTCAGAAATGGAAGATAACTTGCAAATTGCTGTCCAGGCCTTTTTGAGAATGAAACACGGGAACATTTCCCCAAGCTGTCTCTTTGTGCATTACAATGTGGGGGAAATCACTGCCAAAGATCAAAACATGTAAGCAAGAAGGCGACTGCAGCAGAGACTGGATGAAATGGCAGCCACGGCTGCAGAACAGGAACAGTGCTCAGATATTACCAGCTTCAGTGATGTCATTCAGTTTGATGTCAACACACATGTCCATTACTTTGCTCATCTATGGGAAGGGGATCCTCCAATAGCCCCTCCCAATTCCAGTTATAGCCACAACATCCAGGAATTAAAAAGAGGTATTCTCTTGGCTGCCAAAAAAGAATCCAAAGGCAGCATCCTGAAGATGTCTGAGGTGACAGTCCGGATCCATGATTTGTGGAAAGCCTTGCTGAGTGAAAAAGTCATCTTCAGCTTTAGGAATACCAGGGAGATTGTGGCCACGATCAAACTTGAGACTATGTATAACAACTGGACCTGGAACCTAAGAAGTCTTGCTTTGGGTTTGGAGAACCAACTGACCAATCAGATTCAGAATGGGGAAATTCAGGATCTGCCAAGAATTTCTATTGAGGCTAACATTGCAGAAAAGTATGAAGCCATCAGGCAAGAGCTTCAAAGATATTTTGATGAAGACCAAGAGAATGAAATCCTGATCCAGTAGAAGGGAAACTTTGAGAACAAACTGAGAAATCTTAAAGAGGTACTTGTTTCAGAAATCATTAGAAAGTCCAGAGATTTCCTTAGTTCAAGGAAAAGTCAAGATAAACTGGATAAAAAGAAATCGGAATATGAAAAGGAGCTGTTGTGAAGAAGCAGAGATGTGGCTCTGTCACTAATGGGTAGAGAATTAAGTGAGGAGGAGCTGAGAGAGACATTCAGTGTACTTTAGACTAAGTGGGTCTGTGAAGTATCCTCAGTGTTCCCTCCTGCTGAAGACTGCAATATTGAGGTAGATTTGGAGTATGTCTTTCTGAATTATTTTAAACAGGAGCACAACGTGGCAAGCAAACTTGAAGATTATTCCAGAGAAAAAACATTTTCCATTGATTATGGTAAACATGTCTCAATGAAAATAAAATATAAAATTTTCAGATCCTCCTTAGCAGAGAGTGATCAGAGGACCATAATGCAAAGTACTGAAAACATATTCTCATTGGTCACTGAAACTATTGATTGTAAGTTCAGAATTGGAATGGATTATGACGTAAGTTACTTCCATGAAATAATAGGACTGATGGGGCATGGTACAGATTTACAAATGAATATAAAACAGATTTGTCCTTATGTTTATGCCATAAAGCAGCAGCTAAATTTAAGGAAATACACATAGCATTCAAGAGGGCACATGATCCTGTCACATATCTAGAATACAAGAGAGAAGATTTCTTTACGAGTTTTAAGATTTCCTGCCAGGGTGCAACCTCTATCACAGCATTTGCAGACTTCCTGTGGAGCAAGCTCACTGCTTCCCCACCCATAGCCATTTGGAAAAAGGTAGCCCTCGACCTCGCTGGGGAGATTAGGGCTAAATGTTCCGCTTTCAATGGAAACCGATCCAATCTGGAGAAACACATTCTCATCTCTCCGGCTGAGGAAGAAAAGTTTGAGAATTATTGGGAATACATTCACACACCAAAACAATTTTTTTATTAATTTATTTTGATTTATTAATAATCAATTCCATATGCTTTTGAGTTTAAAATTTTTTCCCCCTTCCTCCCCACCACCCTCCCCAAGATGGCACATAATCTCATATAGGCTATACATTTACATTCATATTAAACATATTTTCACATCAGTGATGTTGTAAGTAGAAATCAAAACCAATAGGAGGAACCAACAGAAAGAGAAAACAAAACTCAACAGAAGAGAAAAAAATCAGCAATTCAGCTTCCATAGTTCTTTCTTTGGGTGTGGATAGCATTTTCCATCACAAGGCCTTCCTTGCGAGGAAGGGTTAAGTTTATCAGTATTAGTCATCATGCAATGTGGCTGTTATTGTGTACAACTTTCTCTTGGTTCTGCTCACTTCACTTAGCACCAGACCATATAAGTCTTTCCAGGTTTTTCTGAAGTCAGTCTGTTCATCATTTCTTATAGCACAATAGTATTCTATCACATTCATATACCAGAACTTGCTCAGCCATTCCCCAATTGATAGGCATCCTCTCAATTTCCAATTCTTTGCCACCACAAAAAGAGCTGCTATGAATATTTTTGTGCATGTAGGTCCTTTTCTCATATGTGTGATCTCTTTGGGATATAGCCCTAGAAGTGCTATTGTTGGGTCAAAGGGTATGCACATTTTTATAGCCCTTTGGGCATAGTTCCACATTGCTCTCTAGAATGGTTAGATCAGTTCACAACTCCACCAACAATGCTTTAGTGTTCCAATTTTCCCACATCTTCTCCAACATTTATCATTTTCCTGTTTTGTCATGTTGGCCATTCTGATAGGTGTGATGTGGTACCTCAGCTACCTGTTTTGATTTGCATTTCTCTAATTAATGGTGATTCATAGCATTTTTTCATATGACTATAGATGGCTTTAATTTCTTCATCTGAGAACTGTCTGTTCATATCCTTTGACCATTTATCAATTGAGAATGGCTTGTATTCTTATAAATTTGACTTAATTCTCTATATATTTTAGAAATGAGGCCCTTATCAGAGAGACTAGTTGTAAAAATTCTTTACCAATTTTCTACCTTCCTTGTAATCTTAGTTGCATTGGGTTTGTTTATGCAAAAACTTTTCAATTTAATGTAATCAAAATTATCTATTTTGCTTTTCCTAATGTTCTCTGTCTCCTGTTTGGTCATGAATTCTGCTGTTCTCCATAGATCTGACAGGTAAACTCTTCCTTGCCCTCCTAGTTTGCTTATAGTATCAGCCTTTATATCTAAATCATGAACCCATTTTGACTTTATTTTGGTATGTGGTGTGAGATTTTGGTCTATGCCTAGTTTCTGCCATACTCTTTTCCAGTTTTCCCAGCAGTTTTTTTTTCGAAGAGTGGGTTCTTATCCCAGGAGCTGGAGTCTTTGGGTTTATCAAATAATAGATTACTATAGTTGTTGACTATTGTGTCTTGCATATTTAACCTATTCCATTGATCCACCACTCTATTTCTTAGCCAGTACCAAGCAGTTTTGATGATTGCTGCTTTATAATACAAGTTAAGATCTGGAATGGCTAGGCCACCTTCCCCTGCATTTCTTTTCATTAGTTCTCTTGATATTCTGGACCTTTTGTTCTTCCAAATGAATCTTGTTATTATTTTTTCTAACTCTATAAAATAGTTTTTTGGTAGTTTGATTGGTATGCCAAAACAATTTTTTAAGAAGTACATTGAGAAAGAGATCCAAGCATACTGCATAGGTACAGGAAATGAGAAATTGAAGAATTTTTTAAGTAATATTTTGGAATTTTTTAAGAAAGTCATCCTCTCTGCTATTTGTGGGTCAACTCTGGTGGCTAAGGACCAAAACAATTCTGCATCTGTATGGCTAGACACATTGTGTAATCACCTTACATGTCATTTGACTCTTCCAAGAGGAGACTTAAAAAGCATTGAACACCAGGAGATAACTGACATTGAATTCCTCAAGGAAGCCATGGATGAAAACCTGGATACCAGAATGCAAAAGGTAGGAGAGGCCTATGATATTACATCTCTTTTAGAGAACATTGTAGTTGAGATCCAGACCATGCTCTCTGCTCAGCTCAGTGGCTGTTGGAAGCAATGTCCCTTTTGCAAAGCAGTTTGTACAAATACAGCCATAAATCATGGTGAGCACCACAGTGTCCCTTTTCATCATTCTCACACTGTCATTGGCACAAACTGGTACAATAATAATGAGTTTTCAATTGATTTCTGTACTAGCTATGTGGCAAGTGATATTCTATTTGTTCTTGATGATGGTAAGAAAGTCCCATATAAGACTTACCATGAGGCAGGTGGTGAATTTGCCACATGGAACATTACTCCAGACACATCTTCTCAGCCATACTGGAAATGATTTGTGTGTCACTTCAGGTCCCAATTAGAAGATCATTACAATTTCAAATTCAAGGGCAGGGGTCAGCTTCCTGATGCATGGTTCAGAATCACCAGGGAAGATGTGCTGAATGACCTGAATAAATAATAATTCTTAGTGAAACTGAACGTTGAGCATTTTGAGAACTTGTTCTCTTTGAAATGATTTTTCAAAATTTGAATGTTGGAAGCATATATAATAATGTAGTAATCATCAAAACTCTATATCATTGGTTAAAAAAAATAAAATGAGATTTAGTGCATAGGCCACATCCATGGGATGATGGGTGAGTATGGGCTTCCAACTGTAGGTAAATGGCTTGTAGTCTGGAAGACAGAAATCTGATAGGCAAGTCTGATATGCAGGGCCCCAGTATTAAGGGGCCCTTTCCCAAAAGTTTCCACTCTGATTTCAATTCCTTTAGGAGGATCAGATGCTATTGAGGATCCAAACTCATACATGAAAATATAAGTAACAACACTTTTGCAGGTAGAAGCTTTCTACTCCTGGGTTTAATAGTTATACAAATGAATTTGCTTATGAGATTTACTTTATGACAATTATAATAAAAGACTTGGAAGGATACCTTGATAAATTCCACAATAGTGCATATGTATAAGTTGTTTATAGTAAAATATGTTTTTTTTAGTAAAACTAAAACACTTTTATTCCATTCTTACTTTAAGAAAACTTATAGCATTGAAATTCTTTTCCCAAACCAAACTAAAGATGTTTCTGACTTAGTTTCAGTAACTAATAGAATAACAGCTAGATCCCTCAATCAGTTGTACAAATACTCAATTATTCTTGCATAATTTTGAAACATTTAAGGACCTTATTTCATATTGGTATATACATATCTAGTAACAGGCAGATGACTCGGCCTAATACCCATTTGCTAAGTTGTTTAAGATGTAAATGAGATTTAGTGTGACAGATTAGACAACGTAGAACCAGAAACACTTGATCTTAATCTCACAGTTTTCAATGAGCAAGAATATAAATACATTTCTGAAAGAACCCCTGTTTGCATGATTTGTTGGAAAATCTCAAAAGGAGTTTCAGGGAAATTATATTTAGAGTACCAGGTAACACCAAATACCAGTGGAAGCAAAAATATGTATGTAACTTTAATGACAAAAGGTCATAGCATTAGAAAATTAGAAAAGAAATAGAAAAGATCTGTTTCTCATCCATGACCAGAGGTACAATTCTTAAATAAAGAAGAGAGATGGACAGTTATAAAACATAGATTATATGAAATTGAAAGCATTTTACACAAGAAAAATTAATATAACTGATGTAAGAAGAGGAGGGGTAAAATTGGAAAAAATTGCCTCAAATATCTCTGGCAAGGACCCAATACAGAGGCAATTAACAAATACGTAACCAAAAAAGGGCCATTTTCTAATGCCTAAGTATTGTAAGGATTTAAATTAACTGTGTTCAAAAGAAAATTCGCAAACTCTTATCAAACATAAGAAAAAATCCTCAAAACCACTACTAAGAGAAATCAGAATCAAAACAATCCAGAGGTTTTACATTATACTCAACCAGCTGGCAAAGATGATAAAAGAGAGGAATAATCAAAATTTTAGTTTTGTGGGTGGTATTGTGGAAAGGCAGATACAGTAAAACAACCAGATTCAAATGTAATTGGGAAATATTTAACAAAATAAATGAAAGTACAATAAAACACATATAATGTTAATATGTGGTTTCCTAAGTCAATATGTATCCATATAGATTGATATTCATGGCTTATTGGTCTTCCTTTCTATTAAAGTTTGACACATTGCACTAAAACATTGTTGGTGGGACTGTGCATGCACACAACCATTCTGGAAAGCAATTTTAAATTATGCAAATGAAGTGGCTAAAATGTACCCCTTGATCCCCTGATTCCATTGAGAGGCATAAGCCCTGAGGGAGTCATAAAGAACAAAGAAAGGTGTCTTGTACACAAAAATAGTTATAACACCACTTTTTATGGAAGCAAGCAACTGGAAACAAAATAGAGTCCATCAATAGGAGAATGGCTGAACAAATCGTGGTGTATGAATATAATGTTGGATTATTGTGAAATAGTAATCAATTATTGATCAATTATGTATTTTTAATCACATCCTTTCATTACACATATAATTTAGTTCTTATGAATCATTGTAGATTAAGAAGCATATATGAGATTCTGTGCAAGTTGTTAGGGCATTGGTTCCAGCTAGCTCCCTTGTTAACCAAAATTCTCACTTGTATCTATTACCTTTGTCCACTCAAGTTTCTTATTTCTATTAAGAGCTTTGCTGTAAACTATAGCCATAGTTACTCCATGATCAAATATAAGAGGATGGAAAACCCCCTGAGTACTGCTCACCTGTCAAAGTTCCCATTCTCATAAAAATTTTCTACTCTTTTCAAGGATGGTTACAAGAGATAGACTTCCATGATGACACTGAAATGTACCCAAACACCCCAATCAATTGTAAGCCCCTATGAGAATCAATATCATGTCCCTCAATTTGGGATTAATGTTTCTCATTTATTATGTTCCCTATTCTGATGTTTCTCGTTCATGTTTATAAAAATGCTCTGTAAGCTCAGTTCAGAGGCCTTGTACCAACTGAGATGTTCTTAGACCATGGGTAATAAACTGATTGTGCTTGAAATTTTTTTCCTCAGCTTTTTTTAGCCATAGATTTCAATCATGACATTGCAACGCTATAAAAATGACAATCTTGGTGAATACAGAGAAGCATGGAAAGAGTTGTGTGAATTGATGTAACATAAAGCTGAGTGTTGAAAACTGCATTATATTTATATACAAATACATACGTATGCATATCTGTATATGTACATGTGTGTATGTGTGTATGTGTGTGTGAATAGCAATGCAAATGGAAAAAAACAACCATAAAACAATCAAAATGAATATTGTAAAATTACAAGGCTCCAAATAAAACATATGATATATCTCTATCCAATCCTTAGTAAAGGTTGGTGGATGTCCACAGGTATATAATTTCAGGTGTTTTCAATGTATTCATTGGTTACTTTTAATTTTTTCTCTCTTCTTTTTTTTTTGAAGGAAAAGACATTATATTTGCTGACAGGTAAAGACCATACTCTTTTAAGAAGTGCAAAATGAACCAAAGATCCCTCGTCCCCCCAAAAAAACAAAAACCGGTGTTAGTACACATGTTTAAGCAATGCTACACTTTTTTTTTTGGCAAAGAGCTGTATTGTATTATTCAGTCTGTTTTGTAAAACCAATCATTTCTCTGTGAACCAATCAATATCAAATTTTCTACAAAAACAGAAACTAGACAGTGAGTGGCTCAAGAAATAAGCTGCTGTTTATTCATAGACTGATATACAGTATTTCTCCTAATCAAATGTCCTTGAGTCTTTCAAATTTTTCAAATTTCCTGTCTATGGAAATACATTTACAAGGCACATAGTCCAATTGACAATACTATTTAATCTATTTACAAAATGTACTGTCTTGGTGAAAAAAATTACAACATTTCAAAAGCAAAACCATAGCCACTTCTTTTACTTTAAAAAAAAATACATAAAAAAAGATAACAGTTAAAGTCCAGAACCTCTGGGGAAAACAAACCAAAGGTGTCAGCAGAAACCCTTCACATACACCAGACCCAACTCCCCCTCTCCTCTAGTGGCTTGGTTTGTAAACAGCCATCCAGTTAGAAAATAAAAATCCCTTAAAATTTCAGACAAAAATACAAAGCATTATTATATGGAGCATAACATTTAAATTTAAATCCAAAACAAAACAAAAAAAACCCCACAATATATACATTAAAAGAATCCCCAATGATATGCAACCATATATATATCATCTCGAACGGAAGCTGTCTTTTCTGAAAGTAACTTCTCCTCCTAAAATAAAGACAATAAAACAGAGATGTCCTAGCTGTGTAATTTTCCTAGTTTTCAAACTACTTAAACTCGGACAGTTTTAAGAAAATTGTGGTATGACAAGGCTCATCACTACAAAAAATGTGAATATTTTTCTAAATACAAAAATTTAAATAATATTTTAAACATACATGTGGAAAGGAATGAAATCACCTCACCTAACTTGACTGCTGATAAAAGACCTTCAATTCTGGTGACTCAGTTCTACAAGAATTAGTAAGAACAGGCCTTAAAAAACTGCAAAAACATTACCAAAACAAAAAGAAACAGATTAGTATCTTCTGGTACAAGGAGCAGTCTCAAACTGTCTCTATAGCAAAAAAAGAAGCCCTAGACTAGGAAGTTCTTTTCACTTCATTATTCAATCTCACTATTTAAAATGACAGGTTATGTGGTCTAATTTGAGGTGAACAGATTTAATCTTCCTTCATTTTTGTCTTTTCTAACTCAAAGAAAATCAGGATAAATTTAGGCTATACTTTTCCTTGCTCTTCTTTCTTTTAAGAAAATAAAAAGGATTTAAAAAGTGATTCCATTTTGAAAGCATAAAATAAGTAAATGATAAAAGGTTTTATCAGATGACAAATTTACTGTTCTCCCAGTTAAAGAGGTTAGCTTAGGGGACAGAATCAAATCACAACAGAAGTGTATGTAAACCAAAGCATGCAGCACAAATCAAATGAAGGACAGTAACAAAAATTCCCCACAGTAGGAAATTTTATAATTGAACCACTTTTAGAACTGCAAAAACATCACCAAACAAACCAAAGCAAATGAAATTATACATGCATTTATATGGAAGATAAATCATGGACCAGTTAATTTTCAATTTATATCACAATACTGCCATATGACAGACAGAATGTAATGTCTTTATGTATCTAGGTGTAATTAACAAGAAACTCAACTTCAGACAGTGAAAAAGTCTTAAAAATTTTTAAAAGGGGCACATTTCTCTTTGTACGATTTCATAGAGTACAGGCCGAATAAGCAATTTCAAATCACTAGCATTTATCACCAAACTTTAAAATCTAATCTCTTTGGCCATATGTCAAAAAATGCATCAGATTCACATTTCTAACTAGGCTACTGGCCTTGCATCACCTTGAATAACCAAGAACTTCAACCAAGTTTTAGGTGGGAAACTTTAAGGCCAACATAAATACCAT